TACCAAGTAGTAATTTACCATCATTGTTGTAGCACACTACTACTACTACTACTACTACTACTACTACTATTTACGCTGACGTTACAAATTCCTCACAGTTGTCGCCCTCTCATATGAAAAAAAACATAAATCCCACCAAGCCAATCAATGAGCACTAAAGACATTTGTGTGGTTAACCGCCCTGGTTTCGCGCGCTTACGTATACATGTATACGTCTTAACTACCCCTTACGTGGGCGCTTACAAATTTCTCATTAGCAAAATACGACTCCTTGTCCAACCGCATCTTCCCCTAATCATACGCCAATCGCCAAGTGTTTTACCATAATCACAATCACTCCTACCCCAGACAGCTTCCAAATACAACCTGGGCTTAAAACTTTATTTCACATTTCTCAACTATTTTGATACTTTCAAACATGCTAAAACATGCACAGCCAATCCCCACTCATCAGCAAATGTACATAAAATACAAAAACATTTATCTTCCTCTTGTTGCCGCAAAACCCCACTTTCTATCTTTTATAGTCTAGTAGGTACGCTTGAATGGTGGCACAGCCTTGCACTCGGCCTCGTCTAGCGTGGTACCAGTTACCGCCCTGTAGCCAAGCTTGGTCTCGCCATGTGGCTGCTTCTGCCACGACAGTGTGTGCTTCATCCACTGCTCGTCGTCACGGTCGGGGTAGTCCTCGCGGGCGTGGGCACCTCTCGACTCCTTGCGGTTGGCCGCAGATTCAGCAGTCTGAACAGCGCAAGTGAGCAAGTTTCGCAGCTCAAGCGTCTCGACAAGGTCGGAGTTCCAGATCATGCTGCGGTCCTTGATGCCAACGTTGACAAAGTCGGCATCAACCTCGCGGATCTTCTTGACACCCTCGTCGAGCGACTCTTGTGTTCGGAAGACGGCGACATCAGTCTGCATGACCTTTTGCATTTGCAGGCGGACCTCGGCGGTGGACTTGGTGCCCTCGGAGGTGCGGACCTTGTCCAGGACGGCGATGGAATCGGCACCAGCATCGGCAGATACAGGGTCAGCCGTCTGACCAGGGCTGAAGTTGTCGCGGATAGTGTGGGAAACAGCACGACCAAAGACAACAAGGTCGAGCAATGAGTTGGCACCGAGACGGTTGGCTCCGTGGACAGATACGCATGCAGCTTCACCGCAAGCAAACAGACCAGGTACGACTTGGTCGTTACCCTGAGCGTCTTGAGTGAGAACCTCACCAGTGTACTTGGTGGGGATGCCACCCATGTTGTAGTGGACAGTGGGAAGGACGGGAATGGGCTGCTTGGTAACATCTACACCAGCGAAAATGGCAGCGGTCTCGGAGATACCGGGCAGACGCTCGTGGAGGACCTCAGGAGGCAGGTGGCTGAGCTGAAGGTAGATGTGATCCTTCTCAGGACCAACACCACGGCCTTCGCGGATTTCCAGAGTCATCGATCGGGAGACAACGTCACGAGAGGCAAGGTCCTTGGCGGTGGGTGCATAACGCTCCATGAATCGCTCACCCTCAGAGTTGAGAAGGTAACCACCCTCTCCACGGGAACCCTCAGTGATCAAGCATCCGGCGCCGTAGATACCAGTGGGGTGGAATTGAACAAACTCCATGTCCTGGTTGGGGAGACCTGCGCGAGCAACCATGGCCATACCGTCACCAGTACAGGTGTGAGCCGATGTGCAGCTGAAGTAGGCACGTCCGTAACCACCAGTGGCCAAAACGGTGTTCTTAGCGATGAAACGGTGGATAGTTCCGTCTTCCTGATTGTAGGCAACGACACCCTTGCAGACGCCATCTTCCATAATCAGATCGGTAGCGAAGAACTCAATAAAGTACTTGGTGTTGTGGCGGAGAGATTGTCCATAGAGGGTGTGCAGGAGAGCGTGACCGGTTCTGTCAGCGGCAGCACAGCATCGGTATGCCTGTCCGCCCTTTCCGTACTTTTGCGATTGACCACCAAAGGCACGCTGGTAACTACACCAAGTCAGCATGCTACTAGAAAATGGGGCTACGGGAAAGCGTACATCTTGCCGTCGTCGGTTCTAGAGAATGGGCAACCATAGTTCTCGAGCTCAATGACAGACTGCGGGGCCTCTCTTGTCATGTAGTGGATAGCGTCCTGGTCACCAAGCCAATCTGAACCTTTGACGGTATCGTACATGTGCCACCTCCAGTCATCCTCGTGCATGCTGTACATGTACGTCAGCCTATTCAGCCCGCCTATCACCTGCTGCTTATACGTACTTTCCAAGTGCCGCATTGATACCACCCTGCGCAGCTACCGTGTGCGATCGAGTGGGGAAAAGCTTTGAAATACAGGCCGTGTTGAAGCCCGCCTCAGCGAGACCGAAAGCTGCTCGCAGACCAGCTCCTCCAGCGCCAACAACAATGGCATCGTATTGGTGATCAATAACAGGGTACTTGCTGGAGATGAAGCCTGACGCCTCCTTTGCTCGCAGGTTCTCAGTAGCGATTATACGTTGGAAGGGTCGAGTTGAGGAGAAAGCACGTGTGCTTGGGCGGAAACTCCTCGCGAGCTATTGCGGGGAACATTAGCCATTGAGTAATTGAGGAGCAGTGCGAGCTTGCAGGGCATCTAATGGCAACGTCTGGGGGTGCCGAGGTGGTAGCCCGCCATGCGACTGTCTGCCAGAGCCATGTGGGATGTGGCACACGCCTCGGTGCGGTGGATGCCACTCGTCGGCTGGCAACGAGTGATTGAGAAGGCTCGCAGTAGACTTACCTGGCTCGCAAGCTGCGTGCGACGCATCCTGAGGCAACTCATATTGGCGGTAGCCGAAGAGTGAAGGACTGGCGGAGGGGCGAGAGGTCCTGGGGGTTTGATGTTGGAGGTCGATGATGGCAGTTGCGACCGACCCTCTACTTACAAACTAAAATCGGCCAGCGCTCATTGGATCGGTAAGCCTCGGCTGCATTGTCGCGCAAGTACCTGCCATCCCGACTTTTCTTCTTGATGCCGTGATGAACGTCTGCCTCTCCGTCTGGACTTTTGCACACATGCATAGTACATACAATGTATACGAATGATTCTGCATCGCGCTATATTGCCAAGCTATCTTGCATGCGACATTACACATTGAGAGCGCCCGCCCATGCAAATTGAATACGCTGAGATGAATGCTCAATTTCGGCTACATCTACAAACCTGCTATGCACCACGTTCTCTACTCAAGGCCAAGTCGAGGACTTATGTTGGCAACAAAGCCTAGGCGTACTGTGGCCACTACCGTTAACCGGGTCAGCCCACGACCCATTTCCTGGCCCGACAACTGTTGCCGTTGCCGCTCAAGATATGAAGCTCAATTCGTCGGCGTCATAGACGTTCTCGACTGATCACATGGCCGCCCCAACCATGAATTAGGGAAACCCCCCGGCTTTTTCAAACCCACGCAGAGCCGCCACCGTAACGGGAGTCTGGGGCTCATTGTTACTCTTGGCAGGGTCAAACATTATTCTTATCTGTAATCGCGAGTCTCTCCAGATGGAGCTGCGAGCAGTGGAATCTACATTTAACGCCTTTGGATCACTGAAACTCTGCGCAAATTCAAACATAGATGCTTATCCATCTTTTCTTGGCCGAAGCTTCTCTAGTGACTGCAGAAGAGGCGGGGGCGGAGGCGAATGTAAAGTGGTTAAAGTACACCCACTCCGGTCCGAACTATGTACAATCGTGGGTCTATGCTAGTGTTAGTATATGTAGAGAAGCCCTCTAAAAACGAGGATTACGTACAACATCTCACGGTTGCCAAGTACCTATGATATAGTTACTGCGACCACGGAATGTACAGCAGCTGCCAGGAAGGGAGCCAACGCATTGTTAGACGATTAGAATAGGCACTATGAGAACACAAAGGGTACTTACATCTCGTGCAATAATGCCCGTCGAGAAGTAGAACACAAGTATGCAGGTGCTATACGAGAATCTCATCATAGTTGCACGCAGAGTGCAAATGATCCCAATTGGGAATTGCGTTGAGGGGTTGTGTATAGTAAAGGAAAGAGAATACCAATGGATACAAGAAAGCCGACAGTATAGGTCTCTTCGTTTCTTCAAGGATGAGACAATATGGAAGACTATGGGATAAACAAAACAATCAAAGCTAATATATGTAAGGCCTGCTCAAGATACGAGGCGGCCGTGGTGCGATAAGTACAGAGGGTGCTTTCAAAAGTTCTTGTGGACCACGGCCAATTAGCCAGTCAATCAGAGCGAATATTTCTCAAGTAAGCAAGTACTCATGATTTTGGTGAGCAACTAGACCACTTGCACAAACTACGGTAGTAAGGCACCTTCTCCACTCCCATGAACCTCTCTCGTATTCTTAGCTCGACATTGCTAACTAAT